AAGAAGAAGAAGAAGTATATTTATGTGTTTCACATGATTCTTGGAATAAACAGTGATTATTTCCCCACACAATATTAATCAATTTGTGTTTGTAAGATCTGAAGCACTCATAGCAGCTGAAGTTAATGAAATAATTTCAGGCCATCAGCCATGTCAGTTGGTTAAAAATAACTGAAATTTCAGGGGCCAGCTCTGTTCTTGTTCTCATCATCAGGACGTGATATGACTATGAATGCAAACCAACCCATCAATTTAGTAACCTGTAGCCCATCACAGGACTGGTTTAGATCCAGTCATAACAAAACTTGAAGACAAGGACACAGATGGTTCCTCAAATGTCAGCCATTTCTAGCCAAGTGACATGGCTGATAGCTCCAAACTATTTAAATATAAACAGGTCTTTTTAATATGGAGACTGGCTGTAAAGGAGGCCAAGGTTCACCCAGGGCTGTAGCGATGAGTGGTAGGTAGGTAGTAGGACTTTGTAATGGAGACACAGTGTGTTTTCTGTATGAACTCAATCTGTAAATATTGTATACACTTCAGGTAAAGGGGTAAAGTGATGATGTGTGTATGCAGAAATATTTAAAGGTTGCTGTACTTGTTTGCAACCAGTCATGACACTTAGTTCCTGTAAAATGTGAGTTCGGTTTTTGGGGCTTAGCCATGTTGAATAAATTTATCTGTGAAGACAGTGACTTCAGTATGTGCCAAAACACAAAATAGCTTCAACATATGATATGGCTAAACTATGAAAGCCAAAGTTACATATTAGACACATGCCATGAAAATATTTTTATAAAGACAAAATTTCCACTAAAATTCTCTCTTTTACATTATATTACATTACATTATGTTGCATTCCCTTGATCCAGATTTAATCAAAATGACTGTAGGATGTGAAATATTTTATATAAATACAAAAACAAATATAAAGTACAATTGAAGTTTTCAAATAAGAAACCCCAAGAAAACAGAGTGGTTACAAATGACACTATTAAAAATACAGCCACATATGTAAATCAATACTGTCAACTTACGCTATTTAAAAGCATTTAAAAGGATGAGTCACTTTTTAGATAATAAGTATTCGTCAACAGGGTAGAATGAGTGTGTTTAAGCACAATTTAGTGCTGCTTTAAATCATTCATTTACATTCATAAGACTATTGAGATCAGATGGAAAATTACTGAAAATTTTGACACCAGCATAATATGTGCTTTCTGAAAGTATGAGAGGTTAGTAGTTGGTATATGAAGATTGTGCTTGAGTCTTGTGTTAACACTGTACATCTTCATTGGTGTGAGAATGTTCTTTGTTATTTGTAATGAAGCTTATTGATGAAAATATATGTAGGTCATACCGAAAGTCATGAGAAACTTTTTTGCGTGCAACCTGGGAACAGCAGACGAAAGAGTGTGTGGCAACATCCCACATAGCACGCTGTTTCGCCAGTCTTCCAGACAACACTCACTCCTAAGTGAATATCACATTGCTGGTAACGCTGATATTTATACGAGGGGGCACCCAAAAGAAACTGAAGTTTGTTTTTTAAACTTATTTAATCAAATTTTAAGCACAAACCTTCAATCCCCTACAAAGTACTCTCCACTTACACTAATACACTTGTCTAGTCTTTTATTCCATTTTTCAAAACATTGTCTAAATTCATCTTTTGAGATGCCTGACAGCGCCTCCGTCGTTTTTTCCTTCACCTCAGCAACATCAGCAAAACGCTTTCCTTTCATGTCTCTTTTCATTCGAGGAAACAAAAAAAAAGTTTTGATCATTTCGGGACTCTTCTTTCAAAGCACAGCATGCTTCCACGTGACCTTGTTTTTGTTCAGCAGTCAGCAGTCGTGGCACGAATTTCGCAGCCACCCTTTTCATTCCCAAATCTTCTGTCAAAATTCGCTGAACTGAGCTCCAAGTCACTCCCAACAGCTCCACAATTTCTTCAGTGGCCTGTCGTTGATCTTCCTTGATGATTTCACGAATTTTTTCAACATTTTCATGTGTTCGGGCCATGGAAGGGAAACCATATGAGGTTTGTCATCAATTGACATTTCACCATTTTTGAAACGGGAAAAACACTCAAACACTTGAGTTTTCCCCATAGCATCGTCCTTGTACGCCGTTTTTAACATTTCAAGAGTTTCTGTTCCACTTTTCCCGAGCAAAAAGCAGAATTTCACCGCCGCACGCTGTTCACGAAAATCAGCCATTGCAAAAACGATGATCACACAAAACAGTTTTCACTATAAACTCTGCCGAAACTAGTTCTTACCTTCTGAACAACGGTAGTTGGCTTATCGACTCAGGAATGTTAGCTCTATGCGCTCATAGCTGCAAAACGCGGTACTACAAAAGCTCTGCCCACAAAAAAATTAGTTCGGTTTCTTTTGGGTACCCCATCGTACAGCACTCGATGTCCAACCCACTTGCAGATCATCACGTGCGCTAACCAATCACATTGCTGGCAGCACTTGTATTTAAACAGCACTTGATGTTCAGCTCACATTTAGATCATAACATGCGCTAGCCAATCAGAGCTCACAATCACAACTGCCAGTTTTGCTCCTCCATCAAGTATGGTATAAAAGGCGGAGCCCCAAGTTCGCAATCATCAGTGACCACATCAGCCAGTCCGCGAACATCGACAATCCCACAAGAGTCTGGTGGTAGGTTGAACCAGCTGTTGTGTTAACCTTGAGTGTCTTGTGACGTCAATAGCTTGCATCACGTGACCAGTATCACTCATAACAAA